CATCGGGGCGGCTCGTTCTGTCATCGGCTGATCCTGCGACGCATCCACAGAAGCTGTGACGATCTCCTGTGCGGGGCCACGGCTTGATTCGCTTTGGGCTGCATATCCTGCAAAGGTCTTGGTGCTTCCTGAGCAGTATTCGATCGTCCCACCCCCTCGGGGGGTTGGAGTGGAACAGTCGTTCACCATTGGGTGGCGCCACGAAGTTGCGCTACTACCTGCCTTGACTCACTTCTTCCTACCAGGACCACCTTCCTGCCTGGGGCGCGGGGTAGGGCGATCGTCGAGCTCTCCGATGTATAGGTGCTGATGCACTCCTCCTGTCATGGCAGGAGCCGGATGGTAGATCTTCAGCTACACAAGTCCGCAGCTGTCGCCATGTGTTGCCCCACATCGGTGATCCGCCCACCCAGCTCCGCCTCCGCCGGCCAGGACATGCCACTCCCTGGTCAAGGCCCCTCGGAGATAACTTGCCCCCCCCGTCTCCAGGAGGAATGCTCGAGGGATGGGAGGGGAGGTGGACATGAGCAGGAGAAGGAGAGGGGATGACAGATGAATGAGGAGGGAGGAGGGGCACTGCGAGGAAGGCTTCCCGCGATGTCCTGCTGCCGCCAGGAAGCGGTCCGCCTCTGCCCGGTCGGCTTCGAGGAGAAAGAAGAGCCGCTCCAGATCCAGGAGTCGCCCCGCATGGTCGTCGTGGATGCGCGCGTGCTGCGCCCAGGGCTCGACTTATACGGTGTTTTTGGGCGATTCCGCGGGCCGTTTCCGCACTGATCTTGTTCCGCAGCGAAAGGGGCGGAGCGAACACAGAGCGAGGGACAACGTAAACGTTGGCCAGCAGAGACGATGGTCTTGCTGATGTTCGAGAAATGTAGCCAGGAGCAGTTCGCACGTTGTTCGATCGCGTCCAAACCAACCAACGAACCAACCAACCAACCAACCAACCAGCATCAAAAACAGCACGAGGGCGGGGTGGGAGGCACTGCGGAGATCGAGCGCTGGCTGCGCCCGTGTGCGGCCGACCGCGGTGACCGTCCTCTGCACGCATCGTCGGAGTCGTCTGCGGCCGGACCGAGGTCTGAGATCGAGGTTGGTTCGGGGAGGGTGCTTCGACGTTCTTCGTGTCCGTGGAGTGCTCAGGAGGGGAACAAAAACACACACATAATTCATCGTCGACTCCCGGGAAAGTATGGGAACATATGGGAGGTGGGGGGGAAGACAAAAACCCAGAACATATGGGGAACTATGGGGAATCCTGTTATTTGTGTGTGTGTATCTATTTGTGTGTCCCAGGGCCCCTTCAAGTGCTCTTGTGCATCCTAGTCAAACGACGCGAAGATCGGGACAAAATCGGATCGGGATAACTCGAAATCTCTGAGAATCGGCGGGTTTGGAGGATGTATTGGGCGCCGCGGCCGCTCCAGAGCGTTCCGGAACGCTCTGAGAGCGCTCCGGAACGCTCTGGAGCGATGTATCCCGATCCTAGCCCTGTTTTACCTAGGGGAGGGTACCCTCGAGTGCTCTTCCGCTTGGCCGGTGGAGGGCCCTCACGCTCTCGAAGGATGCCCTGCCTGCCCCCGGCCTGGCCGCGTCGGCTCTCGCCCTGCCCGGCGGCCGAGGCGGCTGGCTCGGGCACGCGCGGGCTCCTCGCCCCGGCGCCTGCTCGCCGCACGCCGTCCCGCGGCATCGGGCGCCTCGATAAGGGAAGCACGTCTGTGTGTGTGTGTGTGTGTGTGTGTGTGTGTCTGTGTGTGTGTGTGTGTGTGTGCGAATGTTCGGGTGTCGCCAGAAGTGCCCCTGGCCCAAGGTGCCCCCATCTTTTCGCTCCATTTTGGAGTCCCTGGGGTCCTCTGGGCCTCGTGAGGGGTGCCCTGGAGGCCGTGGGGGCCACCCCGAGAGTCCTGGGGTACCCTGGGCCAGGGGCCCTTCTAGCAACCCCCAAACTGTGTGTGTGCGTGTGCGCGTTCTGGTCGGCTTTTGGCCCGTGCTGCATCGTGGGCGTCGCGTCGTGGGGGGCGATGCGTGGGGGGGCAGCGAGGGGCCCTTTCGGGCAGTTCAGGGGCTCTCCAGGGCCCCCAAAGTGCACCTTTCTTCCCTCCCTCGTTTATCGCCCCCCCCCCCCCCCCCATTAAGCGATGCCCAATCGTGGTCGCACACTTCGTTGGCGCCGTCGCCTGATTAGGCTTTTTTGCGCTGTCCCAGAGCCTACACCCTTCCTCTGGTTGGCGTGCTCGGGTGCGGTCCACTTGGCTTCGCACCTTACAACTTGCGCAGCGTCAGTTTTCCGCCTGCCAGCGTTCTGAACAGCTTTCTCGTGCTGCGCCCTTACAGTCGGGCAGCGACACTCACATGCCGCGCTTCTATTCGTTTTTACACCTACCTTCCTTTGCGTTGCACTGCATGGTTGCTTCGGCCTCTTCCGCGTGCATCCGCTTGTGTTGTTTTGCATGTCTCTGCCCCCGTCGAGTCCCCCCGCCCGTCTGGTACGCCAGGTGGTAAT